GTTTTATATTTCAAATCATATTTTTTCTTCTCATTCATGTCTGGCAAGTCTTGAAAATGAGTGCTTATTTTTGAGCGCTTGAAACATGTCGACTAGTATTTCCAATTTGTATATTTTTATAGCGGAAGAAGGTTTTAATCAAGTAAAACCTTACCGCTTCAGCTTCCTGGGATTATTTATTTAACATAAAACCTTTTACCTGAAATCATGAGCAAAAATGTGGAGATGTCTGCTAATACATGAAATGGGCAGGTATGAATACTAATAATATACTATTTGCATCTAGTTCAATCAAATATTCCTTTAAGCTGACTTTTTTTTTAAAAAAAAAAACACATTAAGATATAAGTAAATCTAATATGTTATTGCTATTTTCCAATTAAAAAATCTTTATAATACAGATTAATAAAATTGTTATTTGAAATGATGTATAAAAATCAGAAGTATAACAAGTACGCTGGTTTATAAAGTAGACAAGTATATTTTTTAAAATATTATATTTATATAATTTAGTTTTACTTAAACTGACTTTTGGAAGATGAGAAATTAAAATAATTCTAAATATAGTATGAAAAAAAAGAAACTATAATTTATTCAAATATTAACAAATTTTTCTATGCTTAGATTTACATATATCTTTTTCTCATTATTTGTCAAAATCTTTTCATATAAAACACATTTTATGACTTTAGCAATACTATCTCTTAAGAAATATCATTTCAATTCATTGCTTACAATAAATGATCCTTTTATCTAAAAAGATGTCAAATCAGATGTTAGAAATATATCACGTTCCAGTTTTCTTTTATTTGTAATGACATTATAAGGCGTTCAGGAATTCTTGTAAGAATGTTAAGGATTTATACTTTTTATAGCTCATACATAAATAAAATAATTTTGGAATTTCTTACACATCGAAACGAAGAATAATATTTTCCAAGATTCATAAGAAAGAGAGATAAACTATTTCTTTAAAAATGACACCGATTCATTATATTATTCCCTGTATATATATATATATATATATATATGAAAATGTTCAAAATGAAGAATAAAACAAAGAAAAATTATAGACATATGGAGAAAAAAAAAAGGGGGGGGGAATAATAAGTATAAAAATAACAAACAACAGTTTATATATATATATATTAAAAAAAAAAAAAGAATGAAATTTTATTAAAAAAACCGGAAAAAAAGAGCTGGAAAAAAAA